CCCCTCGCGTTTCGGAGCCGGGAGAGCCGGGGGCTCCGTCGGTCAGGCTTGCGGCTGGAGCCTCTCCGATCCCTGGGACCCCTTGGAGTCGGGATGGAGGGAGAAAGGATTCCTCCCTTCCTCGGGGTGGGGGCTCAGGCCCTTTTTGAAAGGAGAGGGAAAAGAGGGAGAGAATGGCTCGGAGGGGGCCGCCGGCGAGTCCGGGGGGGGGTCCTGTTCCCAGCGGGGAGCGCACGTGGGGAGCCTGCCCTGCCCGGGAGCGGCTCTTTCTACCAGCGAGGAAGGGGGCCCGTTCTCGGTTCGAGTGTCCGCCGCCCTTTTTGCCGGCTTGCCTTGTTTTTCCAAGGGTCCCGGAGGGGGATCTGCTTTTGGACTGGCGACAGGTGGGCGCTACCTTCCGGCTGCTCTGAGCTTACCTGGTGAAGTTGAACAGGCTTCCCAGACGGGATCCTGCCTGTGGGAAGGAACCGATGACACACTTGTCACATTTGCCCAAAAAGAGAAAGGACACACACTCTCTCACACTCTGTATCTAACTGGCAGACACACACACACAATAAGTGTTGGGTTTGGCACAGGGTTTTGAGTTGGTGTTGACCTGCCCGGACATGGAGTCCTGGAGGTCATCATGGGCAGCTCAGCCGGAACATGGACCTAAAGTCCAGAGGCCTTTAAAAAAGAAGAAGTCAAATGTTATGTTTGGGGTCACTGGGAAAAGGAACCAAGTGTCCCTACTGTAAGGGCCTTTGCACAAATCTCTTGTGGAAGCAAATCTTGGCGGTTCCAGTCATCTGCTCAGCCAAAAGGAGATGGGGGCGCTGGGGAGGGGAGCATTGGGGGGGCGTAAGAAATGTCCGCTCTCCCCCCCCCATCTTCCAGGAGCCTCACCTGCAGCTGCCCCGTCTTCCTTTTGAACCTAAAAAGTTGTGAGCCCTGTAGCCGCATGAACCTCATCAGGCACTCAGGTGCCACAGACTTCTTGGCTGGCACCTATTTTTCTCTTTCCAATAAAAGGGGCTTTTCAGGGTTGCCCAATGAAGCCCCCCCCCCCAATGGGAGATTCCAGGCAAATGAAAGGCAGGGCTTCCCACAGCACACTTTTTAAAATGTGGTTTTATTTTTGATGGGATTTGCCACCAGAAGTGATGGTGATGGCCGGCGGCTTTTTTGTCTCTGTGCGGGGGGGGGGCGAAAGTGGGGGAAAGAAGGTATGGGTGAGTAAGGATGCCTGAAAAGGACCTCCCCAGGCGGACAGACAGACAGACAGACAGACAGACAGAGAGAGGGAGAAAGAGGGAGGAAGTCGCGCTCTTCATGCCCTGACTGCTGTCATTCTGTCTGCAGGAACAGATCATTTTCTTCAGGATGCGTTTTTGCAATTAACTGGCTGTTGAGAAAGTAGCTTTTAATGGACTGGTGTTATGCTTTTAATTTTTTTAAAAAATGTGCTTCTTCATTGCTTTTTAACTCAGCCCTGTTTCAGTAGACTAGATTGTGTGTGTTTTAACATTGTACCCCCTGCCGCCTGCCCCCCCCCCCGTTTTCATCTTTGTTGTGAGTTGCCTCCCATTCCCAGCCCTGCGGAAGAGACAAGAGGCCAGTTGATCCGTGATGCTTATAAGGCCAGTTCCTGGGGACCAGGAGGAGACGGGGGTGGGTGTGGACGGGCAGCTCATGTCCGGCTCGTGAACTTCCCCGTGGGTACAGCCTGTTGCCTCAGGGTTCTTCCCTCCTTAACAGTTTGACGGAGGAGCAGGTTTTGGGTGTTCCTGTTGCTATTATGGAAAGGTAAAGCCAACATACTTCTAAGGAGAGTAATGACTCCTTTCTTGGCACTTAGGGACATGAGGAGATTTTCACCGTCATTGTTTAAAAAAAAAAACAACCCGTACACACACAAGCCAAATCCTTATGGATCGGGTGGCCAAACTGTGAGGCTGGGATGCAGAAATTTGTCTTCTGCGTCTCTGGCACCCATAAAAAGCTGTGGCGGGCTCTTTGGAATTTGAAATATTTTTTCCAGGGCAGGGCTTGTTTTTCCTCAGAAAAGAGTGACTAAAGGGTATGTGGAGACACCTCTAAGACGAACTGGTTGACTTAAATTTTGGTGGGTTGTTAACATGTCTTTTGCTGTGGCTGCCCCTTGGAGGACTGCCGGCAAAGCCTGACGAGGCTGGGGGGGGGGGATAAACTGGGGGCAGGGTCACCAGGGCAGACAAGACTGCCCTCGGTCCCGCCCGCCTGCCTTTGACCTTCGTTGCCTCTCTCCGCTTTCCTCAGCCTGGCCCTCTTCCAGTGTCTTGGACTACAACCCCCATCATCTCCCACCAGCGTGGCTATTGGCCGCTTTAACTGTTTCCTTCCTCCGTTCTCCACCTTTGGCTGCCCGGTGTAAACAAGTGTGCTCCTCCAGGCTGGGCACACAATCTGTTTGGAAAACACCATTGTTCTCTTGAGGCCGAAGGAAGATTAATTGTCTTCCCTTGGTGAACAGTACTTTGTGTTCACGGGAAAGGGGAAAAGAATGGTTACTTTTAAAAAAAAAGAAGAAGTTGTTTAGTATTTTGCTTTGTATAAAATGCTTCATAGCTCCATTATGGAATTAAATAAACAAGTGTATTCGTGGTCTGAGACAGATCTTACATGCCTCTGATTTTAGGCTTTTGCACATGGACTGCACTGCTGTGTTGCTTTTGTGTCTGGACAAATGTTGTTTCCAGGTTTGGATTTTTTCTCTCTCTCTCTGCCTCCTTAAACAGGTTGTTGTTGCTTTTGTTAAAGTCCCTTGAAGTGGTGGCGCTGCGGGTTAAACCGCAGCAGCCTCTGTGCTTGCAAGGTCAGAAGACCAGCCATTGTAAGATCGACTCCACGGGATGGAGGGAGCTCCCGTCACTTGCCCCAGCTCCTGCCAACCCAGCCGTTCGAAAGCCTGTAGAAATGCAAGTAGATAAATAGGTACCGCCTCAGTGGGAAGGTCATGGCGTTCCGTGTCTAGTTGCGCTGGCCACGTGACCATGGAAACTGTCTTCGGACAAATGCTGGCTCTATGGGTTGGAGACGGGGATGAGCACCACGTCCTAGAGTCGGACACGACTGGACTAAAAGTCAAGGGGAACCTTTACCTTTAACTTAAAGTGAACTAATGCAGGGCTGCCTTTGCTGACAGCTTGGAACAAGAAGGGACAAGTTTTGCCCGCTTTTTGCCCGCTGCCTCTTGTTCCTTGCAGATCTTGGTTATTTCTTCTGAATGGATAACCTGCCGCTTCCCTTCCAATCTAGGAGTCTCTGGCTCACAGCGTCCTGGCTTGTCCGTCGTGCGTCAGACCAGGCTGTCAGCCGGTCTCCACAAAACAACTCAGGCATCCCTTCCTTCCTGACGCCCCAGAAGGCCTGTGTTTGAGAGTCAGTTTGACACAAATATTTAATGAGCAAGCAGGGCCCTGGCCGTTGCAAAGGTAAACTCTGGAACAGGCTGTTCGCAGAGAGCGAAGGAGAGAGGCTGGCGCTGGGAAGAGGCATCGAGGGAGGGGGGGTGTCTCCCCCCAAGGGTCTGCCCAGCCAGAGGAGGGTGACGCTCCGCTCGCTCCGCACTGAACGGGGAGGATCAGCCAGCTCGCCAAGATTCTCAGCTGTCGACTGGCTAACATGTTCTCAGAGTGGAATTCTGGCTTGTTCTGGGTTTGTGGAAAGTGGAGATCCGTGCATTGGGGCTACACGGAGCTCTCTTCTGCCCCTATGCATATGCTTGCTTCTCAAAATGAGGGGTATTCTCACCCTCCTGCACCCCACCGCCTCCCTGCAGGGGCTTGTGAAACACATGGTTAGCAGCACGTAGGAACTTAGTGAGGGATCTATTTTCAGTGAGCGCTCGTGCACTTGAGCCTTTCTTAGCTCCTGCCCTCTTCTCTTTGCTCCCAGGCTGAGTCTGGAGAAAGAGCAGCAGGGGCCGAGGAAGGAGGGGCCTGGCAGCGCCACGGTCCTCCTCTCATGCCGCCCCGTCCTGTATTGGCAAGGGGGACATGTGGAGCTGAGCCCTGCCTGCTTGGGAGGACGCACCGCCTGGCCTCACCCCCAGCCCCATCATCTAAAAAGCTGCAGGAAGGAGCCATGGAATAGCTGGGGGGGGGGGGGGGGNGACACCAAGCTGTGCAACCTCAGGCCTTCTCTTGCGGTCAACGGTGGTGGTCAGGAGTGGTTAGTGAGGTTTTCAAAGTGCAACATTGAAGGAGTGATTTTGCTCTTTCCACCCGGTGAGTTTCTTTGGCTGAGCAGGGATTCGAACCCGAGTCTTCGAGTCCTACTCTGTCTCTTTGTCCACTATTATTTCAAACTTCTGCTGCTCCCCTGTGCAACCTCAGGCCTTCTCTTGCGGTCAACGGTGGTGGTCAGGAGTGGTTAGTGAGGTTTTCAAAGTGCAACATTGAAGGAGTGATTTTGCTCTTTCCACCCGGTGAGTTTCTTTGGCTGAGCAGGGATTCGAACCCGAGTCTTCGAGTCCTACTCTGTCTCTTTGTCCACTATTATTTCAAACTTCTGCTGCTCCCAGAGGGCAATTTCCTCTCCCCCCCACCTCACATCCTCCCAGGTGGCAGAAAAGCAAACCCAGAAAAAAGAAAACAGAAGAATTCAGAAGTAGTTAGAAGGGACCTTCTGGTTCTGAGAACGGGGCTGTATTGTAAAGGTGAATCATAGCTCTGGAAGGCTTTTTTTTGGCTGGGGAAACCATTTATGGGGGGTGGAGAGTGTGATGGGGCCTCAGACCACAAAGACAGCGGGGTGTGTGTGTGTGAGCTTCCTCTCTTAGTTGGCAGCAAGGAGTGTGTGCGTGCGTGTGTGAGCGCATGTGCACATGTAGGTGCAGAGAATCATTTGAGTGACCATCCCCAGCCAGAGCGGAGGGGAAAAGAAGGCTAGCAGCGAGCGGCTTGTGGCATCTTTCAGAGCTGCAAAGGAGGAGGGCCAAAGGCTGGTGACAGAGTTAGTGGCTGCCTGATTCTCAGCTCCTTTGGCAGGGATGTGCCACGTGCCCCTTCCCCCCTTCCCCGTAAAGTGGCCAGGATCCATGTCTTCCTTGGTGGTAAGAGCAGGCCACACTGGGAAAAGCTGAGGGGAGAGTTTGCATGCCACACTGAGGGTTTTTCTAAGTCTGTGTCATTAGGGACTGGTTTCTCTCTCACCCCTGATTAATTCCTTGACAGACTAAAGCACAGCTCTTTACATCTTTCTTAAATATGCACCAAGTTTCAGCCTGAGCAAACTGCGACCCCCCCTCCCACCTTTGAGTGAGTCACAGAATCTGCAGGATGTGAGAAGTTTAATTATAACTGTGCCTGCAGACGCGGCTGGGATTTCTGGGCCTTGCTCTCTAAAGGAAACGCTACAAGGGGATATGACTAAACAGACATCATTTACTAGTTGCAAGATGATGAGGATTAATTTCTTTAATGCTCTCTTTTTTAGTGTATGGGGCTCTCCACCCTTCATACAGAGCCCCCTTGCTGGTAGTCATTTCCCAAGATGTAGCCCCGCTCATCCGTTTCAGTATACCGGAGAGAAAAAAAGTGTCCTGACACCTTTGAAACTGACCGATTTATTTTAGCATGAGAGGAAATTGGTTGTAATCCACAGAAGGATTCACAAGGAATTAAAACTTCTTGTTTTAGGAGTGGCACAAGACTCCCTTCCTTCCTTCCTTCAATCCATAATCTGCTCCTCTTTCTTTTCCTTTCCTTCCTTTCCTTTCCTGTCCTTCCTTCCTTTCCTGTCCTTCCTTCCTTTCCTGTCCTTCCTTCCTTTCCTGTCCTTCCTTCCTTCTACCTACCTACCTACCTACCTACCTACCTACCTACCTACCTACCTACCTACCTACCTACCTACCTACCTACCTACCTACCTACCTACCTACCTACCTACCTACCTACCTACCTACCTACCTACCTACCTACCTACCTACC